AGGTCCTCCTTAATATAGATATCAGAATCTAATTTCTTTTTGTTCCTAAGTACTTCGTTTCTTCTCCAGTTTGTTGTAAACATTACAAGGATAGGACGCGGTTTGTTGCCTTTTTTTTCTCCTAGTCGATAAGCTTTATTTATTTCATTCGAGTTAAGATGAAGATTCATGTTTTCTTCAAGTACTTTTTTTATGACTTCGATTGGAGACTCCATGCGCTGTTCCTCTTTTATACCAAAGAAGATTATGTTGTTTCCCTTCCTGTATTCTTCCATCGACTTAATTTTGTCTTGTAAGATTTTTACTTCAGTCTTCAGGCTTTTGTTTTCTTCCACAAGAGCAGACAATTTTTCGTTAATATTCTCTGACACGTTTCTAGTGACAGCTTCGGTTATTGCCTTTGTTTGCGCAGCCATCTCCTCCTTCATTCTGTGCCAAAAAAATCCATCTCCTTTTCCATTATTGAGTTGGAATACTAGATAAGGGTTGTCAACACCAGATTCCGGTTTCGGTGTCAGCCAGTAAACATATGTTATCGTTAACTCGTCCGAAAATAATTACCATTCGCTTCGAGCTCGGGAGCGGCGGCGGCGGTATAATTCCTTACAGAATTATTTTTCCCTTTATATACTATCTGTTAGAAATAAATAAGATATCTTCATATAAATTTATAAAACAAAAATTAAAAAATTTATTATTATTTCTACTTTCAACCAAATTTCGTATTAATCCTACTTCTGAAACCTTGAATGCCTTAGCCACGCCTGGGGAATGAAAACAGATTTCACAATCAGTGATCAATAAAAGCCATCACAGCCAAATTAACCTTGACTTGTTAATGGATGTGATGCAAGTTGTTATAGTTAAATCCGTTTAAAACAGTAAAATACGCTCTAAATATTGCTGTGTATAAATTGATTTGTATGTAAATTTTCACATTTGCGGCATTTGAAAGAAATGAATCCAACTAATTTCTGAGCGGCTGACTTTTTTCAAACGCCTACTCAAATTTAATCTCAAAAACAAAACAGCCATAATAGCTAAGCTGATCAATTGTAATTTCCCTAAACTAGGCTCAAATTGACCTGGTGCAATATATAATAATTCAAAGGGGTTTATATTAAAAATTACTTTTAACTGAACAGTTTTAATTGAGTAATCAAAAGAAAATTACATCGAAACTGAATCAGTCTTCGTGTTACTGTTATTTACAAAAATGAAAGATAACAAATGTTAAATCAATTCAAGTCCACACTTCATAATATTTTTTTTATTGAACAGGTAGCAAACGGGCAAGAAGCGCATCTGGTGTTATATGATCAAGGACACTCTCAATGCCAGAGGGCGGCCTTTTAAGAACTGGTACGCTCTTTTCTTAAAAGATATGTTTCTAATTTTCCGTTCTCAAATTAGTATTTTTGAAGTTATACTTCTTTTGGCGCGTTAGGGAAAAATTAAGAGAGTAAATTTTCACGATGCGCGCGCACTCCGTCACAAAAAACCGACACCCTGATTCAAACTCAAACTTATTATAATTCAGACGTCGGTAAAACAGTCTGGGCCACTAGTTGCCGCTTGGTCTGTTTTATCGACAAGTTCCATTGTCTATCATGGAGTAGTTTTTCAGAGTGTTTATTTAAACCAAAATAATGATTTCTATACGAGAAAACCAAGTTCCAATATGATAAATTGATATGATAAAAAACATAGTGTTTATTATAAAATATCACGATTAGTACATATTATATCGTTTCGATTGGAAGTGACCATTAAAATGGACAAGAAAAATGCAATTCGAAGAGGGGAACGTCCCTCTAAAGTGCTCGAAGAAAATTATTAGGCCAAAGAAGTATAACTTCTAACACGTGTACATAAGTACACACACACAGTTTTTTGTATTAACGTGACTGAACACTATTTTGACAAAAGATAGAATCATATATATCTCACATTCAAAACTAGCAATGTATAGTCTGCGATATCAGTATAAAATGTTTTTGAATAATAATCGAATACACATTTTATCGAACAAGTTTTATCTTATCCAAAAGGCCCACACGAATTATCTAAAGAATTATATAAGAACTATATATAAATTAAGATTGTGTTCTATGTTCATGCTCGCTGTTTAAAATTTGGCGGGGAAATATATCTATAAAAATTAAAAATATTATGTAAACATTTTTTAAACAACTTACACTGCTTGGTGAAACCAACACGAAAAATAATCATACATTCAAATAACCGCAACGAAATACCGGATAAATATTGCAGCCACAATAATCCTTGAGCTTTATCCCTCACAGTCGGGCACAAGGCTACAGCCTTCAGGATATATTGCAAGCCTTTGTTTCTCTTTCTTGTTTATCTCGAGACTCGCCCGCCGATGTTCTTAAATAACTAGACGAAATATATGAACACTATTTCACCCTAAACACCTTCCCCCTATCAACTTTGATGAATGTTTGACATAATCATTATATTTATGCTAAAGAATGTGAAAAAAAAATTTGGCCCTAAGACTGGTAGGTCTTTGTCTTTTCCTAATAGCTTACGGGGTTAGAACGCATCGAGATTAGCACACATAACTATTAGGCTAACATAGGCAATTAATACTTTTTCAAAACTAGCGGTCAAAATTAATGAGTACACATCAGACCTTTCCCTCGCATGACAGACATTATGTATTAATCGATTCCGTTTGTATGCGTTAAATATTATATCGTAACCAAAGTGTATATTATGTATTTTAAATACTGTGCTGGCCTACATACATTATCATATATAATGTTTTTTACAGAAAAAAATAGGTGTTCAACGTTCTAGTACATTTGTTCAGGTTATGCAAGGAAAGTTATTTTTTTATATATTATCTTAATAAAACACTATTTTGACCACGCACGCTGTAAAGCACGCGAAACGTCGGATAAATTTAAAATTATGTTAAATAGTTGTAAATTTATAACAATACATAACTTCAATCCGGTCAAAATAGTGTTTTATTAAATGAATAAAAGTTATGTTAATCAAAGACAATATATTATCTTTTCACTGATGCATCATGGAAATTACGATCTAACCTAACTTAAGACTAAAGTAATATAAGTAATGTTACTCTTACTCATTATAATAAGGATATTTAACATAAGAAAGTGTCCAATAACTACTTACAGTCTCTATTAAGGAAAGTAATTAATCTTTCTTTTGTTTCATTTACACGTAATTATCGACTGCTTCTCGAAAGTACCTTTAAAGTATATTTAAACTCACCACATCTACTTCGAATGTAACATAATCTGCCACACTAAATCCTATCCTTATTACCATATCTAAGCTCTTATTAACAAAATTACAACATTGACTCGAAAACGTACTTAGATTGAATAAGCCAAACAAAACTTTGTCATAAGAAAAATTATCTTATACGCTTACAGTACGCTCATGAATAAGAGAGTGATTACAATGTTTACAACAGCCCGTTAGAACCCATTTATAATAATAAGATCTACTTACTAATGGAATGAACAAGTGTAGACTTATATATCTTTATTATAGCTACCGATGAGAAATATCTAGAACACAACGTGGGTGTACCAATCCCACACAATGCGCTTTTCATTTTATGAATTTTCAATGAAAAACTTACAGTTTATTAGCCACTGTACACGGATAAAGATGTAATAAGACACAAATGTCAATCAAGATCTAAAGATAGATTTAATACATAATAATTAATCATTTTGATGCAGTATTTACCCGAAGTGCACCTGTAGCCCACAGACTTGCATAATCACCTACACGGCCAATCTCAATTATTCTGCATAGGTTCTGAAGATCGGCTTACTACACAGAAGGCTCAAATAGCCAGTTATGTACATTAACATTGGGGTGAAAGCCGATGACAGCGATAGAGGTCGACCGACAAGTATACAATAATCGTTTGAATCTGGGTCACAATTATGGCCGGCCTAAGTACCGGGATACTGATCCCATAAAGACACCTTATTCAGGTTATATGCACTTATAAAATGGGACAATTTAAGCAGCTCTATGTATAATCTGTAGTTGCCATTAACTCGATAGCACAACGTACAAATAATTATAAAAACTTTTTGGTACAATTTTATTCTCTTAACATTAGTTTTTAAGTAAAGGAATTTTTACTGTGGTGTAACCCTTGAGGTTAAACTTAGTGGGGTTATTTGGGGTTTTTGTAATTAGTTAAACTAATGTTTAAGCACCACACTAGTCTCAATTTAGCTCACACACACACGCACACGCACTCACACATACACACACACACACTCACAAATGCTTTAACTTTTTTATATTTTTTTTATTTTATTATTTTTTTTATATATATATTTATAAATTATTTATTGTTCGTTCGTTTTTAAAAACTTGTATTAGCAATACTTTTTGCCACTATGTTCAAGAGGGACTGGTGACTTGTAATAACAGGTTTTCCCAACCTTTTTCAAGCACCAGTCTCTCAGTATAATACATAGCTTTAAGCTTATTGTCAAGTTTATTATTAATTAAATTAAAAAAAAAACAAAAACAATACCAATAAAAAATATATTTATTTATTTATTTACAGCCCATGGCCAAACTTAGACTAAAAAATTACAATAAATACAATTAGGTTATTTACAAAATTTACAGTAAATGCTATTCTCTTAATCCTAATTTTTGAGTAAAAGTCTCCTACATATGTTTCCATTCCTCTTTGTCTTGAGCAAAATTCATCAGCATATAAATAGTTATTATTAATTACCTAGTCTTTTCAAAGGCTTACGATCATAATCCAACACACAGAGGCCATTTCGAGAGCCCGCAGCCTGTTATTAAAATTCATATCATTCAAACTATTTCACTCGCAATTTGGAACACGTATTACCGTCCGAACAATTGCATCGTAAACATTATCAACCTGATAATAGATATGAAAACTATAAAGATACAATTCATTCCACGAACACATCATTGTTCATATAACAATGTGGGATATAAAAGGCAAAACGTTTCTAATCACCGGAGGTGCGTCGGGCTTAGGAGCTCAGTATGCAAAAACTTTTTTACAACTCGGAGCTAAGGTAAAGATTTTCTTATTAATCTGAATTGTGTTGACGCCCAACTTAGAGACTTGACTAGATTCCGTAGCGATATGACGATACATTTGTTTTATCTTGTATATTAGAATCGACAATAAATTATTAATAACATAACCTTAAATATACTTGTTACTATATGAGAGAGTTTATTTACATGCGCTTTTTATACATATAAAACTAAAATAGGGTTTTAAAGTCTACCATAACCTAAGCTAGGTTAAGTCTCGTAACATTCAAAATATATAAACGTGTCATAACATCCTTTAAAAAAATAAGTATATGTACTTCGTAATACCGTAATAGTTAACTATTACTTTTAGTTTAATATCAATATTAAAATAAATTAAGGTACACAGGTTTAGGAAAATGCACAATGCAAACTAGAATTTGATGTTTGATCGTATAAAATATACTTTGTATGCCTGTCAATTTAATACCCGTGCACATTAATTGCAAATTTTAATATCTGAAATTAATAGAAGAATTATTAAAAAAATATACAGTAGCAGTACTTTATAGTAAAGTCATGCTTAAAGAAGACCTCTGCTGTCGCTAGTTTTAAGTTGAGTTTTTTCATACAACCCATATTTTAAGGAATAGTACGCTGCAACCTTTTTAGGTCTGGGTCTCAGATTTCTGTTTCTGTTTCATTTCATTCGACTTTTTGGATCTAAGGCAAGCCGGTATCCTCAAGATGTTTTCCTTAATCGTTCGAGCGAATATTAAATGCGCACATAGAAAGAGAGTCCATTGGTGCAAAGCTGGGGATCGAATTTACGACCTCAGGGATGCGAGCACGCTGAAGCCACTAGGCCAACACTGCTGTGAAATAAACATATAACAAAAATATAATTTGCAGAAAGTAGCAATATTAGACGTCGCTGAGTCTGTCGGGGTGAGCTTTGTAACGTCATTGAATGAAACATATCCAGGAAAAGCTGTATTCATAAAATGCGATGTCGGCAACGAAGACGACATTAAGGGCGCTTTTCAAAAAGCTCTAAACGATTTGCAAAGGCTGGACGTGATCATCAATAATGCGGGGATTATGAGCGATAGTCCCGATCTATGGAGGAAATCATGTGAAGTTAACTGGGTAGGAAACTTTTACATACAATTTTCTTCTTCAGTCTTAAGTTAACCAATCTGTTTATATATGTACACGATCAGGAATGTATAATTGTTAAACAAATCGTAAACTTTATTCGAATTATGGCGTGGTGAAGAACTTACGGGAATCCCAAGTGCGCGATTGGGAATTCTCTAATTTCAGAGGCAGAAGGCACACTTGGGCTCTCTGTGCTCACCCGGCGCCATCAGAGTAAGTATACACTCCTGGGGTTAGCGAAAATTTTTCCATACTTGTTTATGTAAATCTTTGATGCAGTTCTACGTACAATACCATAAATATTTTGATGCTAGAATATATCTACAAAGACTTGCAACGCTATCTTCGTCCTATGACACATCGATGAACAGTTAATTGACAAAAAACCTTAACATCTTTCAGCAAGGTTTAGTTTCGTTCACCATGAAAGGGGTTGAGTCCATGCGGATAGACGAAGGCGGCGCCGGTGGCACAATCATCAATATTGCATCCACCGCTGCACTTTTCAAGTTACCTACAATGCCAGTGTACTGCGGATCCAAACTGGCCGTAATACATTTTAGTCAGAGTCTTGCGGTAATACTTTTATCTCTCAATTAAAATTATAAGGGTTTTCATATAATTTAATCAAATGCATTTAGTATTGTAGTTGTAATAGATGTGGAATATAAAATAAAATATGTTTATTATGGAATATAAGATACAGGTATCACTTATTCCACGTAATTACATTTGAATCGGTAGACATCCCTACTCATCGGCAAAGAAGACAGCGGGTGTAGGCCGAGAGAAAATCAAATCATCAAACAACACTTATTTTAAAACAAATATCGCAATTAGAAGTAGCCTTCCTAGCACTAGTCCCAGGTCCTTTTATCAACAAGATAATCGTTAACTTTATAGTAAGCCTTTTTACGTAGCTTTTCTTTAATACATTTCTTAAATTTATTAAAAGGCCGAGATAAAAAAATATACGATGTCTCGTGTATTAGTTTAGCTATTAATATTGATAATTAATGTTATAGTTAAAACATTACATGTAAATGCGATATAACATAAACTAACTCATACACTAGCGGCCGTTTTCTATACTCAATCCCAATACAATTTTTACTATTAGAGATTGATATGTCAATCCATTTCTCATAAAATACTTTTCAATAACCGATCAATGGATCGTTTTATTTTTGATTGTTTAAATTCAACAGATCAAATTTTTACATTTATCGATCAATCATGAAATTTGCGAAAATCTGGATTGGGGATAACTTTTGATTATAGATCGAGTTTAGAAAGCGGCTGTAAGAGACTCTAACACGTCATCTCCCTTACTACTTTAAAATAATTAGAACCAGAACGTTTTTCTTGTCTAAATATGTTCTTTCACAGGAACCGCCATTCTTCGAACGTACGGGTGTTCGCATTTTGACTATGTGCCCAGGACCGACTGATACGCCCTTATTACACAATCTTCTAGACAGAGCCATTGACAAGAAATACGCTGAGGAGTTCTATGCTGCTGTCCCAACATACACCCAGGAGTGAGTTTTAATATATATATATACTAGCTGTTACCCGCGACTTCGTCTGCGTAGAACTACTACTTCGTGTAAATTTGTTTGGACTGAATAGGCTCTGAAACTATAATGAAACGATTCTAATGAAGCCGGCACATTGAATTATTGAGATTAACATAGGTAGACTTTTCCTGACCCTGATCCCTGACTTAACTTAGTTTAATACGTTTTTGTATACGACATTTTTTGTTTTTCCTTCTTTGGTCAAAACATGTAGGTTTTGTGGACTCGATACTCGTGAGCACGCCACATACAGTTGCCCATGGGAGAAACAGTTTTTTTCTAAATGAACACCAGCTACTTTGAGTGTCTGTCCTTGAGCTTTGTTTATCGTCATAGCGAATGCTGCTTTCAGGGGAAATTGTACTCTTTTGAATTGGAATGGCAAATCGGTAGGGATTATTGGAATACGGGGAATTAACACTTCTTCTCCCTTTGCTGTTCCTGTCATAATTATTGCTCTCACAATATTGCGTCCCAGGTGTGTAATTTGTAGACGTGTGCCATTACACATTCTTGGTGCGTCAAGATTTCGCATCAACAGGACCGGGACACCTACTTTTAGCCTCAACTTATGGAAAGGCACCCCCGATAATTCTAAGGAGTTAAGAAATTCTACAGGGAACGATGTCACTTGCTCAGTGTCCATGACATTGTCTACGGACAGATACTCAACAAAATCACCTTCCACATCTGACATGATTTGTTCGTTGATCTGCCCCACTACTTCGTTTGTCGGTGCTAAAATTGCCCTTTCGCACAGCCATTGTCTGTTCTTCATATTGGTTGCAAGATCGGGATAGACGTTGTTCTTTAAGTCATCCGTGTTACAGACAACATTACAAAATTCACGATTCAATGTAATCATTCCGTCACTATTTGTTTCCATACGGTCTTCTCCGATTTTCAGAAGAGCATCCGCATATTGCACCAATTGTGTATCACTGTGCAGTTGTACTCGCATATTTGTAGTCAGACAAAAAATTTTTACATGCACCCATAATGGAGACGCTTTTAAACATGCATTTATTTCATCTGCCGGCGTGCCTCTAGTAATTACCGGCAGAGTCTGTCTAAAATCGCCAGCTAAAAGTACCACCATACCACCCATGATACTTTGGTTACTCTTAATATCTTTTATGGTCCGATCTAGTGCTTCTATCGCTCTTTTGTGGGACATGGTACATTCATCCCAAACCAACAGCTTACATTGCTGTAACATTCGTCCACGGTCACTATTTTTAGTAATGTTACAAACTGGCATTTCCTCATGAGCTAAGTTCAATGGCAGTTTAAGTACTGAATGTGCCGTTCGGCCACCATTAAGTAACGTAGCTGCTATTCCAGAAGAAGCTACAGCAACAGCAACTCCTTTATCTTTACGAATTTGGGCTAAAAGTAAATTTAAAAGAAATGTTTTACCCGTGCCTCCTGGCGCATCCAAAAAGAATAAACCACCTTCGCCACTTTCGATTTTTTGCACAACATTCTCAAAAACTAATCTTTGTTCTGGGTTTAGACGCGGAACAGCCTCAGTTATTTGTTGTTGTAAAGAAGCAGCATCGTAACTCAATTCTCTTATTATATCACTGCAAACTTCCCCAGTTCTTTGCGGCCTGCTCAACCCAAAATCTGACAAATCTTTCCCAGTTATAGTTATGACTTGGTCTTCTATCTTTGTTAGGGCTTCATTAAAAATGAAATCATTGTATGTAACGTTTGGATTATGATGTTGTACTCTGTGTAAAATATCGTCGGCCATTTGAATTTTGTACCTTTCCCACAGTTGTTGAGGGTTTGAAAGCCCACATGTCGCTATTAGTATAGCAAAAAGCATTCTCACCTTGGCCGCTGATCTACATTGTGCAGCCTCTTCCAGTGTTATATTCCAATGATTGTCATCCTCCAATAATCCTCTTGCCTCACATGCCTCTCGAAATGTTGAAAATTCTTGATTGTTGTATTTTTTGAGATCATTGAAAGAGGTTGGCCCACGCACATGGTGTAGAAGCATCCTTAAACAAAAACATTCCATGTTAGTAACATGGACTGTGTAAACCCGTCCTAAGGCATCTCCAGATTTGACACCAGTCCAGTTCTGAACCGAAGTTCCTTGAATTCGGCGTTTCCAAGTTTTTCTGGTTGCGTCCCATGTGTAATATCTCGGTACCTCAGCATACATAAGAGTTCTTGCAAACTCATCTCTTATGCAAAGTTCAAAAAAAGCTGTAAGGGTGGTTTTTGGTCGAGTAGATAGTCGCTCGTGGAAATTATCTTCTGTAAAATAAACTCGTTCACCGTTCTCTAAGTGTACACTTAGATGTGTAACGGTGGGGTGCCTTTCGTGCAACGGGAACCCTAATAACCGCCACACGGCTTCGTTGCTGCTAACATAACGACCAGATTGATATGTATGTACTTCATTTACGCGATTTGCAAGCTCTGTGCTCCTAAAATTGAAAATAGCTTGGTCACTGCCTTTGTTAATATATTTGCAGATATATTTGATAGCGCGCACTGAACTGCAAGCCTCAACATTTATATGGGCGTTAAATATTTTTAATAGAATAGCGGAATAAGGGACCACCCAACTATTATCAATAGTGACGTAACTCCCATTTCGTAGTTTCACAGATGCCGTTCGACCTCCGTCTGCTGGTGCTCTTCTACGATAGAGTGGGTATCCGTTTTCACTGTGGACAGTGTCTTTGTGTAATTTGCGAGGAAATTTCTTTGTGCATTTTCCATCTTTCATGCAAGGGCACTGAGGATTTTCAGGTCCACATGGACCATGAATCATGTTTTTAACTATAATATCATGAAGTGTCTTGTCAGTGCTTGGATCGGGTATTTCTGCGCTGATAATATTATCAATTTGATCGGGTCTCAACTTGTCTTTTAACCACAATAATATGTGGACATGTGGTAGGCCACGCTTCTGCCACTCTATGGAATACATAAAGCAGATCACTTCTCCAAATATTCTGCCTTTGGAAATAACAGACATAAGTTTTTTAACTTTCAACCTAAAAACTCTTGCGACTACATCATGCCTATCAATCGCGCTTTGACCCGGCATTAATTCATTTACTATTTCCGGCCATGCTGGGTTGCAAGTAAACGTAACGAATAAGTCAGGGCGACCATATGTACGTACATAAGCAAACGCATCCTGAGTATATTCGTGTAAGTACCTCGGACTATTTACAAATGAAGACGGTAAAATTATCATTCTACCAATATCATTTGGATTTAGATTAGCGTCATTCGCTACTGCGTCTTGAAGGTGGATATAATTTTCTGCTCTTAATTTAGTTTGATTTAATGTTATGTATCGTAATCGTTCACTTTCTACCTTAACGTACATATCAACATAAAACTGATTGGCCAGTTGCCTGCATCGTGATATAATATTAAAATCATTTTCTCTAATCATGATATGAAAGGCATAAAAGTCCATACATGATACCTTTTTGTTAGGCAAGGGCAGGCCAGTTACAGGATCGACTTGTGGAATTTGAAAGTGATACCCTTCTTGCCCTTTGCTAAATATTAGCGGATATTGTAACGCATCGTAAAATTTATGTGTATCCGGCACCCTAGTTAGTGTGTTATCACGGGCATGTAAAACTATATCACGGGAAGCAAACTGTTCACCACAAACCATGGCTGCGACTTCATTTATTAAAGGTGCATTATATCGTCTTTCGTGTTCCCCACTTGGTGTACGATCTGGGTGAATCACCAACTTATAATCATCTCCCGGCATTCTTTCTAAGGCTGTTGTGAAAGTGTTTATTAGGCGGTTATGTTCATGCAACATTCTCTGAATCTTTAAGACAATATCCTTTTCTACTAATTGAATGTTTTGACACCTGCGGTCAACCTCGTCGTTTTCATTTCCCATAAAATAAATCTGTAAAAATTTTGGTTGCTCATTATTTGTAGGAAGCAAAGAACCAATCCTATGATAGATTTGACCTTGGATTGTAAAAGTAGATGAAAACCCAGGCATAACCACCTCATTTTCTACACCAAATGACGTCATTTGAAAGCATGAATTATATTTCCTTATTTTGATTAAAAAACGCCGCGATTCGTTGTTATCACCTAAAAGTAAAGACTTCAATGGTTCCTCTGGTTCTCCAAGTATTGGAATTGAAACCTTGCCACCAGAACAACACATACCCGGAGTTTCTTCTTTCCACTTGAGTGCTTCACAATTACATTTTTTATCCATTCCACCTATGAGAAGTAATCGATGGTTATTATACTCAATCGATGGGTCATAATCAAAAGTAGCATTGTGGAATGCTCCCCATGTATACATTGTAAACGCATTTCTCCTTTCTAACTGCCGTTCAGCATTTAACACACGTCGTCTTTGGGATTCTTCTGGCATCTCTGCAGCTATCAATGATGCGTGTCGCTCAGCATCTAAAATCTGCCGGGCCTGAGTCTGTTCATAGGTCTCGGCAGCTCTTTGCGTTGCGTGTCGCTCAGCATCTATAATCTGCCGGGCCTGAGTCTGTTCATAGGTTTCGGCAGCTCTTTGCGTTGCGTGTCGCTCAGCATCTAAAATCTGCCGGGCCTGAGTCTGTTCATAGGTCTCGGCAGCTCTTTGCGTTGCGTGTCGCTCAGCATCTAAAATCTGCCGGGCCTGAGTTTGTTCATAGGTCTCGGCAGCTCTTTGCGTTGCGTGTCGCTCAGCATCTAAAATCTGCCGGGCCTGAGTCTGCTCCTCAGATTCTTGGGATCTAGCTACTTGCGCAGTTCGAGCTCTTTTAGAGCTACGCGCTAAATTAGATTTACGCTTGCGAGGCATATTACTTAACCAGTTACCTACCTAAAGTAATAAAAACAGGTAAGTACTTATGCAAAAAAAATTCTTTAGCTGACAAAAAAATTTAGTTAAAGGTACTGAGTACGAAACTATACTTAAGGTAGGTACTTATACACATGAAATAAAACAAAAACAAAACGAATTGCTAAACTAAAACTAAATGTTAAAAAAAATATACTATCCACATGGAATAAAAACAAAATGAATCGATAAAATTATATGCGAAACTACTGGAACTATTTTATTCACAAAACAACATTACTTACCTATTAATACTCAATAAAAACTATGCTGACCTTCTTAGGTACCGTAACTACTTACTAAATGTGAAAAAACTTAAAAAAACCTGCCTACTAATCTACTACAATTTTATACCTATCCTAAAAAATGAGTTAAAGTATTTATTTTACCTATTAACTATAATTCTACCTACTACTAACTTATGCTAAACTAATAATAACAACCAAAACAACTAAGTAAATAACACAAAATGCTTATCCAAGAAACCCTAAACACCAATGAAAACGTAAAGAAAGCGAATACGTTGCAGCTCAAAATTGTAGATATCGCATGCGTCCGCCAACGACGTCTGCCCTCACGTATCTCCCGTTCGGGTAAGCATACTTTGTGATCTACACTCCTCCCACCGAGCCATCCGCGTCCCCCGCACGTCTTTGCCGCCGCGCCGCGCAGCGCGCCCGCGCCCGCCAGCCCCGCCACACCACACCATGCATCGTCACACTTACACATTCATAGTGTAGAGGCCTGATGGACATGTCAGGCAGAAAGTATTCTAAAAGCTGGCTAGGAGTATTTGAATTATGCGATACATAACTGCACCCCGCGTTTTCACCCGCATAATTCCGGGATCGGGATCGGGATAAAAAGTAAAGATGTCCTTTCCCAAGGTTCCATCTATCTCTATACCAAAATTCATCAAAATCGGTTCAGCGGTTTAGGCGTGAAAACGAAACAGACAGACTGTCTATGTCTTTCCCCAAGGTTCCATCTATCTCTATACCAAAATTCATTTAGTAGGCATATACGATACATAACTGCACCCTGCGTTATCTATCACTCGCATAATTACGGGATCGGGATCGGGATCGGGATAAAAGGTTGCCTTTGTCCTTTTCCAAGGTTCCATCTATCTCTATACCAAAATTCATTTAGTAGGCATATACGATACATAACTGCACCCTGCGTTATCTATCACTCGCATAATTACGGGATCGGGATCGGGATAAAAAGTAGCCATGTCCTTTCCCAAGGTTCCATCTATCTCTATACCAAAATTCATTTAGTAGGGATATACGATACATAACTGCACCCTGCGTTATCTATCACTCGCATAATTACGGGATCGGGATCGGGATCGGGATAAAAGGTTGCCTTTGTCCTTTTCCAAGGTTCCATCTATCTCTATACCAAAATTCATTTAGTAGGCATATACGATACATAACTGCACCCTGCGTTATCTATCACTCGCATAATTACGGGATCGGGATCGGGATCGGGATAAAAGGTTGCCTTTGTCCTTTTCCAAGGTTCCATCTATCTCTATACCAAAATTCATTTAGTAGGCATATACGATACATAACTGCACCCTGCGTTATCTATCACTCGCATAATTACGGGATCGGGATCGGGATAAAAGGTTGCCTTTGTCCTTTTCCAAGGTTCCATCTATCTCTATACCAAAATTCATTTAGTAGGGATATACGATACATAACTGCACCCTGCGTTATCTATCACTCGCATAATTACGGGATCGGGATCGGGATCGGGATAAAAGGTTGCCTTTGTCCTTTTCCAAGGTTCCATCTATCTCTATACCAAAATTCATTTAGTAGGGATATACGATACACAACTGCACTCTGCGTTTCCACCCGTATAATTCCGGGATCGGGATCGGGATCTGGATAAAAAGTACCCTATGTCCTTTCCCAAGGTTCCATCTATCTCTATACCAAAATTCATCAAAATCGGTTCAGCGGTTTAGGCGTGAAAAGGTAACAGACAGACAGACAGACAGACAGAGTTACTTTCGCATTTTAATATTATACATATATATATATATTAAGAAAAATAATGCACTTTGCGTGACACAAAAATTTCGTAGCTAAGCTCAAAAGCTACGCATGACTTCAAGATTTAAAAAACACTTTCACAACTAGCGAATAAGTATGGAATCAATTAAAAGTTCTTTATAATTCCAAATATCGAACATTTGTTAATAAAAGTCTTAAATTGCACAATTTGAAATAGAAAATCGATAAAATATTTAGAAAAGGGGAAAAATATATCATTTATTTTCAGAGTGGAATCAGCGGTTAACGCAGTCGTTAAAATGTATCAAGAAGGTGACTGCGGTTCAATATGGTTATCAGTTAAAAATAAACCAGCTCAGGACATAACTGATATGTTTAGGAATTTCTACATTGAATTGGCGAAAGTCATATAATACTACTATCTGACCCGGCAAACGTTGTTTTTCCATGTATATTATTAATGCCACATAATAAAAAAAATCATTCAAAACCTAAATTTTTTTGGGGTAGATAGGTTTATTACTTAGGGGTTTGAAAGATAGATAGTAGCCGATTCTCAGACTTACTGAATATGCATAAGAAATATCATAAGAATCGGTCGAACCGTTTCAGAGGAGTATGGGAACCAATATTGTGACAAGTATTTTATATATTAAATAAACCAATAATATACATTTTTTGTTTCATTATACGCTGAGGGCGTTCTCTAGATGTTTAATTTAAAAATATTTAAAAAAAGGCTTATAATCTATAAGCATTTATGTTAAATCACGCTACGACCGAACCATTTCGTGTGTAACCGCGGGGCTTAACTAAGTATGTTTGTAAATATCTTCTATAAACAAGATAAACTAATGTTACTCTTGTAATTCAGAGATTATTTTTTTTGCGTCACCATAAACTCTATTTCATTGAGAAAAAATCTTGCTACTAGAAGAATTTCATTATCTATTTTATTTTTTCATTTCATATCTTTGTCTATATATATAAGGTCAAATATATTGCTTAAATGATATAAACTTTATCTTATCTATCAATTTCGATAGCTTTAAATTCTACGGAATGTCGAAATGTTATTTTCCTGACATCTAATAATTCGACAGTTTGATGGGTAGAAAAACAAAGGAATTTCCACCTCTTTAGCTGTAGACAATAGAGTTACAATCATAGATAAACGTCGGAACTCGGAAGTATAGCCTTACAAATCGATTGATAAGCGACGGCAAGGCGCCATTGGCTAGACTCTGTGACGTCACGCGTATCGACCGCCCGCCCACGGGCGCGCATGCGCGTGCTTGCAAACTGCGTCGTGATTGGCTCACCTGGATATCTAAAGTAAATGTACGGTTTCGTTTGTTTTTAAACGGATTATTGTGTTGAAAATTTTTGTTTAACTGTCAAGTTCGAATTAAATAAATAATGACGAATATATAGATTAATCATGGTTGTTTCAAGTAACATATAATCAAATAAAATTTTAATAATCCTACTGTTTTATTGGAAAGGTGGCATACGTGCATGGATACTTTGAATCAAGTGATAACCGCCGCCCATGGACACCTACAACCCCGGGGGCTAGCGGGTGTGTTGCCGACCTTTCAGGGCATAATCTTTTCTTGAAGGTCCCTAGTTATAAGAAAAGGTATAAAATATGACTTACGTTCGATTTTTATACTGTAACTAGCTGATCCGGCAAACGTCGTTTTGCCATGTATATCATTTATAATAAAAAATAGGGGTTGATCGTAGAGGGGTGAAAATTAGGGGTTGTATGTATTTTTTGTATCCTGTACCATAAAAATTTTTTTTTTATCTAAATATTAAAAAATAATAATTTAGGGGTGGACTACCCTTAACATTTAGGGGGTGAAAAATAGATGTTGTCCGATTCTCAGACATACCCCATATGCATAGAAAATTTCATGAGAATCGGTCGAGCCGTTTCGGAGGAGTTTAACTACAAACACCGCGACACGAGAATTTTATATAATAGATGTATTGTAATAAACGGCTGTCAAGTGTTACTATAGAATAATCGACATCATAGTTTTAATACCTATATTAATTCCATTAATTGCAAATAAATGTGTCGCAGATTTTCCTAGGACACTTCCAATACTGAATACTAATTCAAAACGTACCTGCATCGGCATAGCTCGCGGATCTTCGCATATCTATAAAATATTTTTTTTATTTTAAACGTCGTTTGTTTAAACCAGAGTTCCCCAAACTTTTTTGTGTCGTAGACCCCTTGCCATGTTTTCCCGTGTTGGGTAGACCCCCTACTTACCTGATATTGATTTCCTGTAAATTTCTAACTGTAGTGAAGTTTAGTGTTAAAAACTTAAAGTAAAAACATATGTTAATTTATACATTTATTAATTGAATTTAAATTAAAACTACTCAAAATAAAATTTTGTATCTGTTTGTTTGTAATGTATATGTTTTGATATTATAAGATAGTATGACGTAAGTAAATAGGTACTATCAGTGTATGTGTTGAGATCCACTATCGTGGACCCCCATTTTCATTTCATGTACCCCCAAATTTTTTTTCGCTTACGTAGACCCCTTGCAGGTTATCATAGACCCCTAGGGGTCGATGACAACCACTTTGGGAATCACTGGTTTAAACCAACTTTATCAAGTTCGTTTACTGGTAATCAAGGATCGTATTGTGCAAACACCTTTATTGCTCTGAGTGCAATAGGTGTAGTTATATCTATGCATTTATGAATTTAAGTTTCCACAATCCGGTATACAGTACTTCAATGGCCCATGATTACAACATTGCGTGACACGACACTCCGCCGCCGTAGGCCTCACTTACCCCATTTCAACATAAATTACCAATGCAATTAAGTTCATATACAGCTTAAATTTGAACAGATAATTTGTTGGGAAAGGTTAGTTACAATTCCATATAAAATCCCTTAATCCAGAGACGAGACTAGGAGTAATTCATTCGTAAGTTCTCAAGCGCCATCTTGTTATAAGAAAACATGTACTGGCAATAAAATCTTGTCTGTTTGAAACATTTTGGACGGAAAATTTCATTATTAAGTAGCATTATTCACTTATAAATTATATTTAAATTAATAATAATAATTTATTTATTCAAACAATCATAAGTCCATATGGTTATTAATGTGTTAGTTATAATATTTTCCTAAATTTTATATTAGCAGGTTAGCTTTAAAGTATTTTTATTTATTTATTTATTTATTTACACTTCGTTACCTTATACAAAAACATACGAGTACATATAAAAAAGCAGTTTACATAAGTTTTTAGCGGCAGCCTAATCGCTAACAAACGATTTCTTCCAGGCAACCCAAATATGGACCAATAAAAAAAAGAAACACAGAAGGTAAAGTACAAGAAATGTATAAATTATTAACAAAAAAATTTATTAAAACAAAAAACAAAAAAAAAAAAAAATAAGTAAAGTAAATTACCATTAATTTAGTAAACAGATAAGAAACATTCATTTTTAAACATAGAAGTAAGGATCAATAAATATTTAGTCAACCCAAACCTAAATAAATATAAGAGTAGTACGGATGCCAAAAGCGGTAGGCAATAGGATCTCAACATTTCGAAAAACAGAAGTATAGTTTTTAAAGGTTGCGTACTGGGAATGGCGAATCGACATTTTGTTAGCTCACGAATTAATTAACTTATTGTTACCTAACTAGCTGCCCCCCGTGAACTTTTTAGTAGCTACATACCAACATATTATGGAATATTTTCCTATGCTACTCCATAGAGACTGTTAGCTTTTCCAGAATAAATACCTAAGTACTATTAACTATACTCTAAGTACATAAGACTAAATTCTTCTTATTTTTTTTCTAGTTCTCTCTTTCTCTCCATAAAAACCATCCTTGGTCTTCCAACAATAAAAAAAAATACTCGAATTGGAACAGACGTCTTCGAGATTTGCGCTTAGCGCTTAGCTTTATTGACATAGAAAGTAAAAATTCTAATACACTGAAGTATTTACTAAATACCAACACGAAACATAATATTTTTTTTAAATCACCGTCGAATAAGGAGTATAAATAGTGTTTAAAAAACGACTCGTAACATTTACTGACTGGTTTGGTTACCTTTCATTAAATTCAAATAACAATGATCATAGATTACTATCGAAGTTAATTCTGAAATCCCTTATTAACATTCCGTAACCAATTGTAATGAAGGTTCGATTCTCATTCCAATTCCACTTTGAGCCGACCTTCCTATAGCCTTCCTATATATTTGATTGTGAAAGGTTGTGTATAAATTTTATACGGAGCACTTTGCTTAAATTTTTTTTATTATAGTTTGGTTGTCCGGAAGAAGCTTTTAGCAGTAACACCGCCCATTTACTTCCTTTTTTAAATTAATTTTATTTTTATCCTTTATTATGTTATTGTGGTATAAATAAAGTGTAATTACTAACCTAAATGTTAGCCTGAGGGCGTGACTTCGAACCACGGCTTCTTTTTATGTACGCAATTACTATCATACTTACTTGTACACTACAAACATATTCACAGTCGAGATTTAAAAATCACTACGTTTTCATATGACCCATATTTACCACTAAGTCTCGAAACTGGATCTTTCAACTTGAGACTTGACTTAAGTCCAAAAAACGACTTGTCTTAGGCACAGACGACTAATTAAAAATAGATGCAAAAATACTAAATTCTTAGATACTTAAGATGCAAGGGCATCTCGTCACAATCCATGTGCAAGTGTGGTGGAGTAAAAGTAATTATGGTAACAGTGTGATGTGGTGTATAAATCGATCGAGTCCACCCAACTCCCGAATGGATCTTAGGTCACAATTTTGCGTTCATCGAAACCAGAGGTGTAAAGAGGTTGCCGATTCTGCCAGAAATTGACGAAAGTGGTAGAGAACTGGGAGCGGTGGAAGTTCCTGATTTAGAAAACCAAGATCCTTGGGTTTCATAGCAGCGAAGTGAATGATGACAACTAGCGCGTTTAATGTGGGTAGAATCAAAATATATATATTACTCTCAAATTTATGTTCTATTTCATACGCGATGCAATTGGATGTATTATTTGTAAAATATATTGTATTCTGTCTGTTCGTTCTTGCGATTTCTATATGGTAGTTGTTTCGAAATAATGTTAACAAAGAAACTAAGAAGTACTGGATGCTTCTTATTGACCATATTTTTCTCACGCTTAACAAATAAAGATCAATAATTTACAGTGACTTTTTATATATTTTCTATAGTTTTTTTATAGAACAGGGTGCATACGGGCAGGAGGCTCATCTGATCTTAAGTGATACCGCCACCTATGGACACACTCAATGTCAGAGACCTCGCGAGTGCGTTGTCGGCCTATGAAAAATTGGTAGGCCCTTTTCTTGAAGGACCCTAAGTCGACTTGG